CAGAAGTCCTCTCTCGATGTGCTTGTCTGCAGATCTTACCTAAAAATTAAGACTTACAAACTCAACACTAAGCTCAGTGGAACTGAAAAAATTACATAAAATGGTCACGAAACTATAAGATAATCAGCATGCTTAAAAAAACATAAACCAAAATCTCTGGCAGACTTCATACAAATCCATAAAGACAACCTTCAAAATTGGTTTTGGTTGCTGACCCAGCTATGGAGTGGGGAATGAGTGCTGATTTGCTTGGATGTGTCCAGGCAAAAGTTCAGAGAATATTTTCCAAGTGATCTCAGTTCAGTATTCTACTGAGAGCTATGGTTGATCAGTTAAAGTGTGAGATCCTTAATTACACAGAACATCTGGCCAAACAGATCCAGGAGACTCAAGAAAAAATGCCAGTGAAACTTTTCTGGCAGTGTCTCAGGGCATCACTTTACAGCAGAATTCAGAATCAGGGTTGTTCAGAAGGGATCATGCAAAGTGCTGATTTGCACTCACTAGAACAGAGGACACATTAGTAGGAGCTCTGCCCATAATGTTCAGTATGGTGCTGCCATATGTCTTCACCTCTGAAATAAAAAGCAGGAAGCCAGGGTCCCAGGGAATCACTTAAAATGGAGTACTTCGTCTTCACCATCCAACCAATCTAGGCCTCTCACTGCTAAAGTATTACAGAACACTTTACCTCCAAGTGCACTTGACTAAGACTCAGAACCATACGTCTGAATATATTCACAGCTCTTAGAGGTGTCCCTGGAACAATTCAGGATCTGTAGTCATGATGACATAAATGGGCCTGCCATACCCACCAATGATCCCTAGCACCTAGTGTGATACTCGGGCACAGAGAAGATATTCAGTTGACATTTGTGAACACTAACTGTTGAATGCCAGTGGGCATACTTAATTCTGGCTTCCCAATAGGAGGCCACTCCATACTCGTGGCATCCTATAGTCAGACAGTTTTTTTGGGCAAGCCGCCCTATGCCCAGCCCTGAGCACCCTGGGAGATGATCTAGCTAGAAACACTCCCTTCCTAACTCCAGGGTCCCAGGAACAAGCCATACCTGCAACAATTCTGCAGTCTTCACTGTTAGCCCTGTGATATGCTGCATCCGCAGATTCACCCGAGCCACAACAGGGTCATCGTCCTCCTCCAGCCAGGAGCTACACCAAAACAAGAGGGAGAGAAAAGAAGAAGGGCAAAGCAGACTTAGATGAGGTCCTACACTCTCCCCAGCCTCAGGGCCAGCATGGAAGGCAGCACAGAGTGAAAGTTCCACGTAGGCAGGTGCGGGCGCCAGCAGGGAGGACAACCACCCGAGTCACCCGCCCTTAGTAGGAACTGGGAGGCCCCGGAGCTGGGGCTCGAGCAGCCATCCCTCCACCACCATCACCTTTGCTAACCTTTTGGAAACCCTGTAGCTGGCGACAGTGAGCACACCTGTCTTGGGATCACGAACAGTGGCTCGTGCAAGCTGGAAGGCAGGAAGAAAGGGCACACTTATCATTCTTTGCCTTGAGTGTTTACCTGGAGAGACTGGGACCTGATCTGCCAGTCAGACCAGGAGGGGAAGGAGCTCTACAGGTAGTGGCTCTAGCCAAAGCCCCTTGATCCTGCAAGCCAGGCCAGGGCAGTGGTCTCCAAATTCCTGTTCTATTGTCAGAGCCTGGCCACTGCCCGCCCCTGCTCCCTCCCAGGTCCACGCCGTCTGCAGAATTATGCCTATGGAGTCTGTTTAGTCCATTCACCCATCTGCCTGGACAGCCCCTTTCTCCCCAGGCCCACGCACCACACCTGCCCATGCCTGGCTGCTCCCACCACATTCAGACTGTGCTGCCATCCCTGAGTCTCAGTCTTGCATGCTTCTCTTAACACAGTCAAGTCCACTGTCCTTCTGAACCTCAGCAACCTCCTCTGCCCAGAAACCTACCCAAACACTCTACTACTGCACAGCCCCTGCTGGCCTCCCACTGCACAAGGAACAAAAACAGAAGGCACAGTTTTCACTCCCTTGGGAGCATTGTAAGGTCAGAAGATAGAGTCAAGGAAAGCAATCTACAAGCAGCAATAAGTGAATGGCGCAGGAAGCCACCCACCTCCACATGCTCACTCATAATACGTACACACCTCACCTATCTCATCTCCCCCAGTTTCCACAGACTGCTGCAGTGATACTCCCAGGAAGGGCCTGCTGCCTGGAGCCAGCCCCGCATGCTCCAGCTGTGGACTGTCTAAACTAGTGCTTACTCATGTGCCTAGCATGATGCCGGGTGACCAAGACATGGCCTCTGTCCTCATACAGCTCAGTCAGGTGGGAAGGAAGAAAACTAGCTGGGTAGTCACAGCACAGCATGTAGAAGCTGGGAAGCAGGAAGCTCAGTGTCTGGGGAGCGCAGTCTACAGGGTCAAGATTGGTTTCCTGAGAGGGTGATGGGGGAACCACCTAGCTGAGATTTGAACGGTAAGCAGGAGTTAGCCAGGCAGAACATTACAGGAACAGGGAAGGAACAGCAATGCAGGGACCCAGAGGTGAAAATGGATGTGGCATATGACTGTGGATTAGAAGTGAGAGGAAAGAGATGAGAACAGGCTGAGGAGGCAAGAGGGGGTTGAGCTGGATGTAACCTGTGACCAGTGAGAAGCAGGGGAGGGACACCACAACCTGAGTGTAAGAAAGAGCACTGTGGATACATCATAGAGGGTTGACTAAGGAGGGGTCAAAGCAGGAACAAGGAGGCCAGTGAGGATGTCAGAGAGAGGTCAGGGCAAGAGGTGGCAGAAGGGATGGAGGGGGTGGATGGACCAGAAGGCTGGCCGACCTGGACAGGTGCTGCTGCAGCACATTCAGGTAAGACCCGCTGCACCCAGAATGGAAGGCTCCCCTGAGATCCCACCTACTGTTCCTTCCTGATGACAACTGCAGCTGTGGCTAGATCCCATCCAAACAAGCGGACCACAGCACTGGCCTGACGCCCACAGGGAGGCTCTGGGCAGCTGTGCTCGGCTCCCAGGGACAGACAGAGCTATTTTGAAAGCAGGCCAGAGACCCGCAGGCAGCTGCCAGGCATTCCCCACAGGCTAAGTTAAGCTCATGGGCCCTACTTCAAAGCCAGGATAGCATCTGTCCCTCACAAGCTCCAGAAAGGAGAGGTCCGCCTGTAATAGCCAACATGTGTGGCCCTTCGCAGGGCTTCTATTCAAAGACTAGCTTTCCCAGCCACTCTCCTCTTCAGCCACACCCATATGCACACATCCACCCAACATGAACATACACACACACACAGCAATGTTTCTGCCTTGGTCAGAGGGACAAGGGAGGAATCTCTCAGGAGCGTCTAGTACCACAGTGCCTCCCTCGCCTGGCAGCCAAGAAAGCCGTTTTCGTTCCTGCAGGAATTTGGAGCTGGTCCAGGGAATGGAAGAGCGTGGGGGTCTGTGGTCCCCGTTCTCCACACACACTGGCTAGGCCCTCCCTCAGCAATATCAGTGACCCTAACAAGTGGCTCTGAGCCCTGGAGGTCCTAGTACCTCAAAGCAAGGTTGTTCCAAGGTGCAGTCCAGGGCCCAGGATGGGAACCTATCCTAGGTCTCTCCAGGAGTGCTGGCCTCCTGGCCTCGACAGTTCTCTTAGAAGCAGAGAAATAGAGGATCTCCAGCTAACTCCACCTCCTGATCACCAGGAGAAGGGTTGGGACATGGCAGCAAGCAGTTCTCTTTGAAAGATGAAATGGGAGAAAATCTTTTATGAACTAGAAGAATAATTTTGTAACATGATGACGTATATACAAAACCAACAGCCAATGTGCACACTTACCAGTGAAATACCAAAGGCATTTCTAGGAAATTCAGGAACAAGACAAAGATTCCTATTATAAAAACTCTCTAGAAGCTCTGGACAATTCAACAAGACAACAGAAACAGAACTATAATGAATAGGAAGGAGAAAACAAAATTGTTCTAATTTGCAGGTGCTAGTACTATATGGACAACCTAAGATAATTAGCTAAAAACCAAAAGAATAAGAAATGAATTCAACCACTAGCTGTGATCTGCACTGGGTCTATTTCCTTGTGAGTAAAATGAAGATGAAGACAGAGCCTGCTGAACAGACACAGCAGTTAACACATGTTAAGGACTTAGAATAGGGCCTGCCACACTTCAGAACTCAGTACACATTAGCTATTATGATGAAATATATTTTTACAATCGACAGTTTAGCTTATGATAGTAAGCTAATTTAGTAATGTAACCAGTAAAATCATGATGATGAAAGAAACAAAGTGAAAATAAATAAATAATTAATTTATTTAAAAAAGAAAGAAAGAAAGTGAGTTTATTTTCACTACCACCACCACCACACCGTGTCTGGGCACATATATCACGAGAGGTGTTGTGGTTTTGTGTGGAGAATATTTTTAGGTGTGTGTATACAGAGAGACCCAGCATGCTGCTAGATGAGAAGACAGTCCTGCAGGGATACTCATGCTCCTCCAAGTCAATCACTTCTTCACAGTCCTAATCAGGAACTTCACAGGACCCAGCCTGGCAGTACCCCAGGGCGTACTTCCTAAACACTCACCCACACACAGCCACCAACCTGCCCAGGTGCCCTTATTTCCCACCCTTGTCTGTCCACATTGGTTCCCTCCGTGGACCGTGACTCCTCAAGGTCAAATCAAGTCTGCAGCACCTTAGTACCTGACGGTGGACTCGTGCAAGACATCAGCAGAGGCCAGCTGGGTGAGCAACCAAACTGCCCCATGGCACCTGGACTAAGTGGCCTGAGAAGGAACGGTGGAGACACCTACTTTGGGTTTCGCAATCTCCTTGATCCTCTCGATTTCCTCGTCAGACATGACGTCGTAGTACCTGACGATGTGCGGGCTGTCCCATTCATCCTCCTCCTTGAAGGGGGCGATGAGCAGCTGCGGCACCCTGTTGCCATGGTGATACCTACAGAAGAGCCTCTTCTGCCTTCGGGGGGTCTGGGCAACACAGAACAACAGGCCCTGAACCGAGTGAGTCCTAACCCTCAGTCCCAGACTAGTTGGCTGCAGACACTGGTCTCAAACCCCATGTCCAGCAGTCACTCCCTCCCACCTCACCAGACAAGAAAACAAGCCCCTCAGTTTGGCTGGCATGAAATGATATGCCACAAATCATGCAGAGGTTCTCCTCTCCCAAGAATACCTCCTTTGACAAGTCCTGTGGCAGGGTGTAATTCCCAACCCTTCTCACAGAGATGTGAGTAGGTGAGGAGGGCTGGGGCAGGGGGGATGTCTCTCTAGACAAAGAGCCAGCGGGAGCAAGCAGATACTGGCACGGAGAAGGCCAACAGACTGACTCACATCTGTGCCACCTCTGTGAGGAAGCATCAGGGTCCCAGGGCTCTCCAAGGCCACTGATACCTCATACCAAGCTCTAGCAACTGTCTTGTCTTTGCTAGAGATCACGACTTCCGTTGCGGCCCAAGGCACATCAAGTCCCATGGGTTTTCTTAGAAGAGTGAGTCAGGCAGAAGCTAGCCTCTTGGGATGGGGAGGGGTGCTCAGCAACAACTCAGAAGACTGAAACTCTGCCTGGGACCTCAGGGAAGACAAGCCTCCTATCCTGTACCTCGAAGAACATCCACATGTCAGCCTCAGCAGATACTACCAAGGATTGAGAAAACCACCTACAGACAGAGTAACATCTTCTTCACATCTGTCTGTCCAGAGCTGAAATCTAGGTCCACTGCCTGGGCCCTGACCCATCCACGTGTCTCACCAGTTTGACACCCTCCCCACGACAGAGGCTCTCGTAGACATCCCTCTCGGGCAGGTAGTCCACAGGCCTCTCGTATATGCCTTGTTGGGCTGCGAGCTCAGCTTCTGTGTGATTCGATAACATTTTTTCTCTTTCCTCTTCCAACAACCTTTCAAAGTAGTGCAGATTCCCTCCAGCTCGTTCATGGCTCGGGTCTACAAAAGGAAAGAACATGAAGGAAAAGGAAACCACAAACATCTGTTAGGTCATTTAGAGAAATTATTCTGTAAGCGGTTTTCTCTCCCAGCAGCTCACTTGCACGCAGCATTCTGGCTTCCACAGCACCTAGGCGGGTTTGCTGGTCACAGAGGAAAAGCCAGCAGAGGTTCTCTCCCCTCTGGTCAGAGATGAGAAAGGAGCCACAAAGCAGGGGGTGGAGGGGAGGCCGCGCCACTGATGCCGATCTCCTCTCAGACCTCCCTGGAAATCCTGAGGACACGGGTCCAGAGAAGCAGTCCAGAGTTGCCTCCTCCTCCCAACTTGGCTGTGTGCTAGCTTCATCCGTGCCCTAGAGTCCACCTGTTCCATTACTGGTGAGCGCATCACGCCCTGGCCACAGCGAGAAGGCAGGCTGAGACACCAGCAGCAAGAACAGCCACGTGACACTCCCGCGGCTTTGTCCTATGGGCCTCACGACACGAAGGAGCGAGCCTGGCAGGATTACTGAGCCACCCCCTCAGATGAGGAAACTGAAGCCCAAAGATGTGAGGAAATTAATGTGAGGTTATTCAGAGGAGGAACCCAGGTGACCCGACTCCCTGTCCAAGGCTCTTACTGACACAACAGAGTCTACAAAGCTCTCTTCCCACAGCCGTCTAACAGACATCCACACTGGCTGGCCTCAGACGCAGGACCCATGAAAAGCAGCAGCAAAAGGAAGTATTTGCTGGCCAGTGAAATCCCAGACTATGATATCCCAAATATCAATAAGAAGAGGAACAAATAGGTTCTTAAGACACAGTGCTTCTGATCTCCTTCAGTCTAACATCGCAAGACACTTAATAACCAAAGCCATGGCAAGTCCATCAGTTAGACCTCAGACCTCTAATAACAGGTCAGGCCACTGTCACTGCAGCAACCCTGAAATACAGCTTGCCTCTCGAGTTATTGTGCTTGTAATAAAGACTCCAACCTACAGGGCAGCAGATAGACTGCAAACCTGGATTCCCATTTATAAATGGAATAGAAATCTATGTGCAGGCCTGAATGTATCCATCAGTGACTGGGCAAGGGTTAAGGCCAGAACTGAGGTAGGTAAAGAGCAAGCAGGCAGCTAGCCTGGGCCTGAAAGCAGCAAAGGATTGGTCACCACCTAGGCAACTGGTCAAACTGGCTTGGTCCCTGACAGCAGCCACTCCTGCCACCTCCCCATCTGCACCTGACCTTCCCCCAGAGGCTCCTTACCAAGGGAAAGCAGGCGGCGGGTGAGCTCCACGGCACGGTGCAGGTCACCCAACTGGAAGACGGCATAGCTCAGGTAGTCCAGCACCTGGGCCTTGGATGTGGTGGCCTCCTCCCCAGCATCGAGCTGCTTTAGTACCTGTTCCATCCACAACACCGTGTGGTAATAGTCGCCTTCATTGTAGGCCGAGCGGCCCATCCCAAAGCAGTCGTCAACACTCAGCACGGCCTGGTACTTGGTTCCTGCAGCCGGAGAGGCACGTAGTCAGGCTCCAAAGGGTTAGGGAGACAGATTTCCCGCATTACAGGAGCCTGGGACCCTGGGACTGGGGGCATCACCCCAGCAGAGGCCCACTAGGATTTCAGACTCCACACCTCCAAGGGCCATTGAGTACGGAAAGCACAGCCATGCTGGCCCTGCCTCCGGCTGGGGTGCACAGCCTATCTCCTAGCCTCAGACTCTCCTCTTTCCAAGGGGGATGGAGGAGCCCAGGACGCCCAAAAAGTAGTGTTCGGGAGAGTATAAAGGTTCTGCGAGCCGCACAGGAGATGTCTGCAAGGTAGCTGACCATTTGAGACTGGAAGTTTAGAAAAAATAACTTGAATATAAAAAACAGAACTGAGGTGGCAGGTAAAGCCATGGATGAAGATAAATGCTTCCAGAAATAAGTGTCAGGAAGGAGAGACACAGTAGCTGAGGCCAGGGCCCCAGACACCACCTGTACAGAAATGATGGAGTGAATAACACTGAGAAGTACCTAAGAGATAGCAGAAGCAGAACAGGAGAGGTGCTACAGATGCCAAGGGAGGTCAAGAAACAAGACTGCAGTGCCAGCTTCGACCACTAGGTGGTGAGGCCCTTCAAAGTGAAGGTGTGAGTCACTCAGTCCTGTCCCACTCTTTGTAACTCCATCAACTGGAGCCACCAGGCTCCTCTGTCCATGGAATTCTCCAAGCAAGAATATTGGAGTGGGTAGCCATTCCCTTCTCCAGGGGATTTTCCCAACCCAGGGATTGAACCCAGGTCTCTCACACTGCAGGCAGATTCTTTACCATCTGAGCCACCAAGGTGGGCCCTTGGTAAAGGTCAATTCAGCAGGTCCTCTGACCATAGGTCGTCTGCTGTTGGTTCATGCTGGAAGTGACCATGAAGAGAGATTCAAGTCAAGAAGGAGATGTGGTGTGTAAGCTATGCGGAGATGCAGGGTTTAAGCTGTGACCCTCCTGGAAAGCAAAGGAACTTCCTTACAAAACCATTAATAGCAACCCAGGCATGGCTGACAATGAAAAGTTGCCTCAGAGTGGGCTCTTTCTGCCTAATATCTAAGATGTCCAGAATGAAACCCCTGCTGCCATGGGTTGGCTTCAGGGGCTGCTCACCAGGATGGCTCAGGAACAGACAATGTAGGACAGGATAGGAAAATCGGGAAAATAAAACACCAGACAGAGTTAGCAGGAAGACCATAAACGGGAGAAAGGGGGGCATCCTTGAGTCCTTGTTCACTCTCCATGAACCTCCACAGAGCTCTGGCTCTGTAGGTGCAGGAACTCAACACTGATGGAGGCAGCATAACACAGGTGAGTGGGCTGGACAAAGCAGGGTCTGTATGGGCCTATCTATGGCACCCAACAGCTGTGTGACTATGGACAAGTTACTTAGCCTCTCTGATTCTTAGTCTGTTACCTCTAAAAAGAGATAATGCCATCAATTTTAGAGGACTTGTGCCAAGAATTCAAGAAGACGATGTCCATGAAAATGTCTCCTATGAGTCCTCAGAGTGTAATAAACAGTGGTTGTTACCATATGTCTCACAGATACCAAGAATGTCAAGAATGGCTCCCAAACACTCAGTATCTTTCCCAGAAACCAACGTGAAAGTCTGCTCTCTGGAAAGTGCTCTCAGGAGAATACCAGTTGAGCTGAATGCTGAAGGGCCATAAAGGTAAACCTGCAGAGTTTGTGGGATGAAACAAAGAAGCCGAGCAGCGGTGAATCTTAGTACAACAGACAAGGAGGCCAGGGAGACAGAACAACGCAAGACCGCAAAGACCACATGTTAAGAGGAATTTGGATTTAGCCCTAAAAGTAAAGGACTGTGAACAGGTTCCCCTGGAGAAGGTGCTTAGGGAGACTCCAGGCAGGAACAGCACCCTGGGGAACAACTCCCATCCACCCCTCACTGCCCCTCCAGGATACACATGCGGTTGTTACTGAATGCAAAGGGTCAATGTGCTGGCTGTGGCTCCCTCTTCCCATCAATCATTCTCTTAGCTATAGGGTGAACGGATCCTGCAGGTGCCCCAAGCCACCTTCTCTCTCTGGCCTCCTGGCCTTGGTCCAAACTCTGGTTGAGTGAGGATTAAGGAGACATCCCCAGTCTTCCTGCTGGCTCCCTGGGCTTCCCAGTACCAAGGCTCCAGGCTCTGACCAGCCAATAACACAGTTCCTCCCTCTCCCACACACCATGATTCCTTCTTCTGTGCCTCCTACAGGGTCCCTAAGAGTGAGGTGGCCTCCAAGATCTACCAGAGACTAACAGAATCCCTGGGTTTATTGCCCTGTAATAGCCACCAAACCCCTACAAGCCTTCTTATAAACATACTGAGGCAGCCAATTGAATTGAAACAGGGCCTGTAAAAGAAATGAGAGAGAGAGGTGCCAAAAGAGAAAGGGCTGAGATCAGCATCTCAGAATTCAAAGGAGGGGAGAACATCAGGAAGAATCAGGCAATTAATATGCTGAACGCTAGTGAAAACCTAAAGAACACCTGACCTGAAACCTGTCTACTGGCTTTACCATCCAAGTGGCTCCTGGTGATCTTGCAGGGGCAGGAGGAGGCCAGACTTTGTGTGTTCAGGAGGACATAGGAACCAAGGAAACAGGAAGAGTGTAGATGACTATCCAGCTGCCTAACCAGGAGGGAGAAGAGAAAGATCAGCAGCAGAGACACAAAGGGGCCTGGGATCCTGAGGCCCGGGTATGTAAGATGAGCAAGAACAGAGGTTCTGAGATGAGCTCAGGGGGAAGAGTCCAGAGAAGCAGACACAGAAGAAACGGGCAGACTGTAACTTAGGGCACATGGGCCACGGGACAATGAGTTCTGAGATCACTCCTAGGCAAGAGGACCCTGGAGGATGGGAACAGAAGTGGGTCTGGATACAGACCTGAGTGGTACTCTGGAGACACAGGCCAAGGAGGTCCTGAGCAGCAGCCTTGGCATTCGCTGAGCTGAGAGAGGGGAGGCCTGGGCTGGAGGGAGGTGGTGGGGCAGGGGCTGAGGGGAGGCAGCTGTCATGGACTAGGGGACTGGCACCAACTGGAAACAAGAGAGAACCATCGCCAGAGGTGACAGCTCACCTGGGGGTAGAGACCACGAGTCAGCAGTGGCTCCAGCCCTATCCAGACACCATAGTAGACACACATGCTGGACAGGCTTTGTCTGGAGTGGTGAGTTACCTGGAAGGTCCCCTTTGGAAATTGTATCTGGGTCCAGTTTGTATGTGTCCTGAAGTCTCATCAAGGCCTTGGCGGCTCCTGTTTCATCTTCATCGGTGGGGAAGAACTGTCGCTGCACTGACAGGTTTGCAATAAAATCTTCCAAAGGAGAGAGTGAGAACAAAAGGTTACCTCCATCCAGGGACAGAATTTCACCTGGAACCAGACAGGCACCCAAAGGAGGATCTCTGGCTAGTGCAATTCCTTGCCCCTTCCCATGAGGGCCATTTCCCCTTCCTCCAGGAAGCCCATCCTAGTGGCTCCAGTTCAGGGAGACTTCTTTCTTACTCCTCACTGTGCCAACTGCCTGTGCTGCTCATCTGAACTGAACAGAACGGCCCCCTCATACTAATTAACATGTGGGAGTCTGAGAGTCTTGGATCCAAAGCACTCAGACAGATCTGGTGGAGACAGAAGGAACAGAGAGGGTAACTGACGGGGACACAGGAAAAGACTAAGGGGGGAGTTGCTGACCACTCAGCAGAAAACAAACCACACGGTAAACTCTGATTTAGGATTATTAGGCCGGCCAGGTAATCACAAACTCCTGGCCCACATCTCAGATGGAGGAGCCCAAGGGACAGAAGAGAGCCCAGCTAGCCACTCATTACTGACCACTGGTCTTAATCATCCAGAAAGGTAATAAATGATGACAGTCCTGGAGGTGTATGGCGCGATCCCCTCACCAAGATTAGGGATCAGAGGATCATCTGAGCAGACCAAGTACTGAGGTGGGCTGCACATGCCCTGTTGTGCATGATTCCCCTGCCAAACCACACTGGCCTGCTCTGCTCACTAGGATAATTCCTGCCACTGCGACTCACATTGAGCTCAGGGCATAAGCTCCCTGACTGCGGTGCTCAAGACTACAGCCCTGAGTCTGGGAGAACCCTAACCACAGAAGCAACCGAAGAAGCTATTTTGTGACTCCAAGACCCAGCTGTAAAGCAAGATATACATTTCCTGCAATCTCAGGACTTCAAGTGGGGGCCAGCCTCTCCCATGCTGATTTAGGGGCTTCACCTGTGCTCAGGAGCTGAGAATTGGAAGGGGAACGCTAAGGCCATTTCTTTTCCGGCCTCTTCCCACAGCACCCACAACCTCAGGCACAAACATCCACTTCCAGCCATGCCTGAGGACCCAGGAGCCAAAATGCTGCAACCCTGTCTCCTCCATGGCTGCGTGGTTAGGGACATTAAGAGTTTAACAATCCAGAGAGAAAAAAATGCTTTCCAGAAAAAGCCACATTGTTAGTGTCATTTCCCTGCCTCCCCACTCCACATTTCAGGGGCAAGAGCTCTGAAAGAAAGAGGTAAAAAACAACCTATTGCTCTCTGGGGCTGTCCTATCTCCCTCTGGGTAATTTTAAGGTTTTCCAAAGGAACCAGATGTTGATAGTGGGGGCTGGGTATGGAGAATAAGACTGGAGAGCAGGAGATCATCTGGGCGGGCTTATTCTCCTGCGGTGCAGGCAGAATGGCCAGTTCTGAGCTACAGGCCCAGGCTGGGAGGCAGGGTCTGGGAAAGACAGCCACGGCTTCTGGAGGCAGTGAGCTCAACTGGGCACAGCTCCAGCCCGGCTGAGTTCACCAATCCCTCCCTGGAGGCCACTCTGCTCCCGGCCAAGCCAAGCCCAGCCCAGTCTGGCCACAAGGGCTAAAACGCCTCAGCTTGAGAGACAAGGAATCTGAGGTTAATCAGCACTTCCAACTCAGGGGGGAGAGGCAGTGGGTCCAGGGGGGGCTGGGCCCAAGACTGGAATGGGAAGGGCCCACCTCCAGGCCTGCCCCACCATCTGCTGCTAAGAGGAAAATATTAGAGCTTAGGAAGTACTGTCACAGTAAAAGCACTAAGCAGAGCTGAAGTTTTTTAAAAAAAAGTTCATACTCTGACCTGCAAATCCCACTTATGGGAACTGATCATAAGAAAATAATCAGAGGTGGGCAGATAGATAGGGGTAAGGTTGCTGATAACTTGGGAACAATTCCATGTCCACTGATGACCATTTTTACACTACATCAGTGTGACGTATGACTGCTGCTGCTGCTGCTGCTACTAAGTCGTTTCAGTCGTGTCCGACTCTGTGAGACCCCATAGACAGCAGCCCACCAGGCTCCCCCGTCCCTGAGATTCTCCAGGCAAGAACACTGGAGTGGGTTGCCATTTCCTTCTCCAATGCATGAAAGTGAAAAGTGAAAGTGAAGTCAGCTCAGTCGTGTCCGACTCTTAGCGACCCCATGGACTGCAGCCCACCAGGCTCCTCCGCCCATGGGGTTTTCCAGGCAAGAGTACTGGAGTGGGTTGACATATTACTGAGCCAAACATTAAAATCATGTGGCAGAAGAACATTTAAAAAACATACACAGCAGTTGAAAAATTCAGGAAAACTGTAAAAGCTTATGTCACAAATCTGCCAATGGATATGTCTTCTTTCTAAAAGATATGAATGGGAATTAATTTAGAGGAGGCCCACGCCCCCACCACTTAGCCCACTTAACCTTTGTTAATTCGTTTGGACCCTCAAACATTCCCTGGTATGGTTCCATTTTATACACGTGTAAAAAAGACTACGATTTTAATAGTGATTATCATCAGGCAATTGGATTAAAAACTGTAATTTTCTTATATGATTGTTTTTGTTTTCCAACTTATCTAGAAAAATGTATTACTAAAGCATAATTAGAAAAAAGTCACTACCCCCCACCCCAAAAGGGACACCAAAACACTAGAAAAAGGCAAGAACTGATTTTTTTTTTTTTTTGGCCCTGCTGTGTGACATTCAGGATCTTAGCTCCCTGACCAGGGATCAAACCCATGCCCTCCTGCAGCAGAAGCACAGAATCCTAACCACTTGACCACCAGGAAATTTCCAAGAACTGATTATTATTAATATCACAATTGAAAGCAAGGACAGCCAATCGCCAGGTCCCCACAGAGATAAGAGCAGCTGCTGTCTGCACACTGCACGTGCACATCAACATCCTGAGCCAGGACCGGCTCAGAGCCACACACCACAGGCGCAAGCCCAGAGACACAGCAGCTCACGGAACCACCGCTCACAGCCCCTCACCTGCGGCCGAGTTCTGCAGGACAAGGTCCTCCAGCGCAGGCCAGTCCGTGTTTAGCCGCTTGACCAGTTTATAGGCATTCACAGGGTGGGCCAGGTAGCCCTCAGGGTCAGCAGCTGACTTGCTGGTCAGGGCTTCCATTTTGTCGGCCCAGCTGTGGAACCACAGAAAAAGGTAGACTAACACACCCATTCACATGGATCTTGACCTATGGTAATTTTCCTGGTGAGGTTCAGAGGATCTCTATCCAGAAAGCAAAAAGCAGCAATCCTCAGCCCCCATATTTAGCTACTCTCAGGGACTGGCATGAAGTTAACTCCAGGCCAGGCCCATACTGCCCCCTCAAGGGCTTCCTCTTAGGGGCACCCTGGGTGGGTTCCTGGTGGGGGCTCCTGCTACTCTGCCACCCTGGCTCAGGGTGGCTGTGGGGACTCAGGACATCAGGCACCTCTTAATCTTGGAGAGCTTGGCTTCCTCCACCAGGATGTACTGCTTCAGAGACTGCACCAGGTCCTTCTCTGCATAGATCAGGTCTGTCATGTGTCCTGCAAGGGAGAGACAAAAGGGCCAGTAAGAAGTGGATGAGGGACATCCAGCTCCCAACCTTGAGGCAAAAGACATCAGCACAGAGGCAAGCTGAGCCAGGCGCATGTCAGCCCTCTTGGGGTCATGGGGGCCTAGGGTTAAAGGAGGCCTAGGCACTCATATGGTCCTGGCCCCCAGCTTTAGGAAGAGAGAGGCAGAGGCTCCAAGCAGATGGAAAGTGCCCTGAAGACACCTTAAGGAAGAAACCCTGAATCTCGCTCTCCTACTGTTGCCCAGCTGGGTCATATTCCTGGGACAAGGATGTCCGAGGGGCTTCTCTGCTCAGAACCATTCTCTAGTCCAGGAGAAAGTTGGACAGAAAGGCCAGGCAGCCCAGGAGCAGCCTGCACTTTCCAGGGTGGAGGCCCAGCTGAGACGGCCACCTACCAGGAAGGACATCCAGGTCATCAGGGGTCAGAGGCAGAAACAGCAGCCCTGCAAGCCTGACTCTCCCCAGATCTGATTAAAACCAGTGGATGAGGCCACCCCACCCTGAAGGAGAACAGGCCTCAGGTAGTGCCATCCCCTGGCACTTGAGCCAAGGACTGCCCAGGCAGACGATAGTCCTGTTGGCACATACCAATAGAAGTGAAGAATTCAGCCTGCACGCAGCCCAGGACACCAAACCAGGCCACCAGCAACGTGGACTCCCAGGGTTTCATGGTCACAGAGGGCAGTGTCTGCAAGGCATTCAGTGATAGTCATTAGATCAACAATGGTAAAAAACAACTTAGGAGAGGACACACACAACATGTGCACATATACATAGACATTCAAACATGCCAGACTCTGACCCAGCACATGGAAGTTAAGGAAGATATTCAGGATCACCAGTGGAAAGACACCAGGGTGTAGAACCAGGGATCTTCACTTAATTCTGTCCCCTGCTCTGGGGGGCTGAGTGCCCATGGGAGAGACTCTGCCCTCTCAACTTCTGATAACCACTGACAACATGCAAAGGCTAAATGGGGAGGAGGGACAGTCACCCCTGGTTCTAAGGGTCTGTCAGTTCAAGATTCTGACCCAGACCTCTTCTCTGTCTTTCCTTCCAACACAGGTACCAGGACAGTGCCAGGTGCTGAGGACCCAGATGTAACACACTGCCCATGGGCAGAAAGAGAACCGAACACAATAAGTCCCTGGTGGGGGGGGGGGCATCCACACCCAAAACAAGGTGTACAGCAGATGGTCAGCCAGAAGAGAAATCAAACCGTTCCCTGCTGGTCTGCATCTGGCCATGGTGAGAGCAGGCTGGGCAGACACTGCTCTTCCTGCAGCGAGGCTGCTCGGCAGACACTGTCCTCATGGAGAATCACCATTCACAAATATTTACTGTGCCAGGCACTGAGCTAGGCGCTTTGGATACAAAAATGAATCAGCCACACAGGGCCAAAACCTTAGACTGGGCTGGGCTGCTGACATAAGTAAGAGGCTGTCTTCCCATCAGCCTAGAAATAGCCAGACGCAGCTCTGAAGGCAAAAGGCACACCATGGGGCAAGCCCACTGGCAGTGGACCCAAGTATACAACGTAAGCTTCAGACATCATCTCCCAGCTGGGCCACGCAGCCCGGAGCACGCAGGAGGAACATCCACCCGAACGCCAGTTCTGCCAGTCCCTCTTCTTCCTGCTCTACTTCAGCCAAGCCCCACTGGAAATTTACTGAGAGAAAACAAGGAAAATAAAGGAAGTACAAAGGCTTTCCCTCCAAACTGCAAGCCTTATCTGACAGAATTCTAAGGCTGAGCTGACTAATGCCAGCTCATCAGTTTTTTGCCTGCAGTGGCTGATTGGACGCACAGTCACACCCATCATTCCTCACTTCACCCTTCCAGGAGAAATTCCAATCCACTGTGGCTCCCAGTGAGGCTCAGAGAAGCCCAACCACGACCCTCAACCCCAAACGGGTTCCTGTATGAAGAAGAGGGGGGCAGCCCTGGTGGCTCAGCTGGTAAAGAATCCGCCTGCAATGCAGGAGACCTGGGTTCGATCCCTGGGTTGGGAAGGTCCCCTTGAGAAGGGAAAGGCTACCCCTTCCAGTATTCTGGCCTGGAGAATTCCGTGGATTTTATAGTCCATGGGGTCACAAAGAGTTGGACACGACTGAGCAACTTTCACATGAGGAAGGGGAGAGGATAAGTGAGTGCCCCCCTTTACCCCCTGCCAAATGTATGCAGAGCTGACAGTGCTCTAGGTGTCAGGGGCCCAGAGATACACAGGACAAGACTATTCAGCCCAGAACCTGCTGCAGGATAGGGAGGATGGGCTAAGGGGTCCACTACAAAGTTAGGGCAGTAGAGGAAAGCAAGTCCCTGAGAAGAGGTGACAGGGCCCTGTCCAGCCCCAAGGGAGAGCTCAGACCCTCCTTTTTCTAGTCTCAGATCTGCTCCCAGGCCTCAGCACCCTGCATCCACCACCAGGATACTAGAAGGCCTTTCCTCTTGCTTACATAAGACCCTTTCTCAGGGAATGGGGTCTGCTCCTTGTACTTCAAGAGGCTTCGTCAGCTTAAGAGACCACCTTCTGTACTGTGTAGGGAGGGAACAGTAAAAACCCAGAGCCAGGAGGCTGTGTCTGCAGACAATAAGGAATCAGCCAACTGCCTGTCAGGCTGCAGTGATGGGGGAATAGTACCCAGGCAGGAGGCCAGACTGCACACGGCTGGAAAGTGGGGGGCAAGGGTCACCGTTGTCCCCTGTTCCATCACCAGTTGCAGTGGCATGCCTCCTCAGAGATCAGATAACAAATTTAAGGAAGGGAGAAACCTCATTGTTTCTTTCAAATTGGTGATACTGGCCACGGTTCATGCTTTATAGCACTCACGAAAATACAGCCAGGTTCCTTCAGTACATGAATACCAGCTGTCATTTCTCTGGAATGTGCTATCTGGCTTAGACTGAGACTATCCACGAATCCCAGTCTGGAGGCAGAGCCCAAAGAATCGCAGATGGGTTTCTGGGCGACCAAGGGCTTAAAAAGTCCTGTTCTGACAGAGGAGGGGGCTGACGATCCTGCTGGCCCAGACACCTAGGCACTCCCACGCAGCCCCAGACCACTCAATCTAAACTGTCACCCCATCCCATTTCTCCTGAACACTAATTTGTATTAGGTGTACAAAAGGTCATCTAATCAGGCTCAGGTTGGGAGGCGGCAGTCTCCAAGGACTGGTGTCACAGTGTCACCTGCATGCCCCCCCCCGCCATCACATACCTATACCAGAGCTTGCTGATGACAGAGTAAGTGGGTGCCTGTATGCCTGCCAGTGCTGCCAGAAGCCCTCCAGGAACCCTCAGAAATCCACGCTGAATAGGCCTAGAAATAGGCAACATTGAGCCCCCTTGTATGAAAATAAAGTAGCACCAAGCCTGAGCAGAAAACCCATACTGAGTTTTGTGTAAGCTGCATCCCGAGTTTTGAACAAATTCTGGCCCGTATCTGGCACCCAACAAAAAGGAAAACCTCACCACAGATTTGTTCGTGCCAGGAAACTATGACATCCGAAGATGTTACATTTCTTCCATACAATGGATGGTTATGGACTGTGTAGGAATGGATACTGTATGCTTTTTAATACCAAGAGAAGACCAAAGCATCTTGTTAAGTGAGAAAAATAGGCTCCCAAACAATATATACTCTATGCTTTCATTTTTATAAGGAAAAATTTTTATATATGGAAATTTACATACCTACATATATATGTAAGCAGGGAGTCATAAATCTAGTTGTTATCTTGGTGAAATAATTCTATTTTTCTCTTTATGTTTATTTGTATTTCCTAATCTTTCCACAAGGAGGTCTACGGGAAACTTGAAATATACTTTATATAATATCTACAATGAGAAGAGAATAAAGCAAGCCCTCTCCAATGGACTCCAGGAGACCCAGCAGCCTGAGTTGGGGCCCTCACAGGGAGGTCCTTCAAAGCCTGCCAACACACTAGCGACAATAATTCACCCACCAGGCAACCGGCACTATTTCTAAGCACAGGGCAGTTCCAAGACATACAATCACAGGCCCCAGCAAGCTGGCTCTTTGGAGAGGACACTCACAACGGGGCCAAATAGCCATGAAAAGATGTTTCCAACTGCAAACCAGCAGCGTCCTCAGCTTCTCCCCTTACCTCATCAGGCAGGAACCTATGCCAAGCTCCCAGCTGCAACCCAAATACAACAGCTTGAGTTTTAACAATGTATTTAACAGCCTAGAGACAGAACATGGGTTTGCCAAGAACAAACAGGTCTCGTTTGGCTCCGAACAAGAGGATGCCTGCCTTCTGCGAAGGGGCAAGATCTGCCTGAACAGGGCTCCCTCCAGTGGCCTTGCCTCCTGGTCGTGTGGCCAACTCTGCGTGGCACAGCCAAGAGAACCTGCGTGCTCAACCGAGCAAGAGTTGACAGAGGCTCCAGAGGTCTGACCACCTATGCACATGGATGTCCACTGAGGCCCATAAGCTGCTCTCCCTGGCACCCCACGGGAGGGATAAGAGGTGCCCGACTCTCCTCACCTGATATCATGCCTCAACTATCACCCTGATCTGAACCACCCCTAAGTCCTTCTTACTGCCATATTGGCCCCTGCCTGCACCGGACTCCCATCTTTGTGGCCTCCCTCCCACCTCTGCTCTACAAAGTAGCCAGCACGGCTTATTGCACCCACTCCTTTGGTCTCTCTCTCCGTAAGAACCCTCCAAAGGCTCTCCACTGTTCTCAGAACAAAGTCCAAATTCCTTAGCACTTTTTGACTCTGTGTGACCTGCAGTTTCTCTATCCAGCACCTGGACATGCTGACTTGTACTACCCACGTGGGTACCCTCAAAACCACAAGGCTCCTGCTTCAGTAACTAGACAACAAAGTAGCAGAGAAGGCTGTACAAATCAACATGCAAAAGCCAGCTGGGTTTTCAGTCGGAGTCTTGGCACAGACTCGGCAGTCTAGGCAAGACTAACTTATCAGGAACCACGGGAAAGAAGACCCACACACTGCTCTGCTGGATGCAACGGGAGGACCACCTTGTGCTCTCCTGGCCTCACCTGCCTCCTGGGCCACCTGCTCTACCTCGGACCCGGTGAAGGACACTGCGCAGGCTCCAAATCTCAGACTCTTCCTGCAACTTCTAAACTCCAGTGAAGTGCCTTGCTGGCCTCTCTGGGGACTGCTAGAGGGCCTGGGAGTGCAACTGAGGACTGGGCAGGGTTGGGGGCGGTGGGCGGAAATAACTCCTCCTTGGGCAACTGTGACCAATGAAGAACAGACACAAGAGGACATCGGCACATAAATGCCCTCTCCAGGCCTCCAGTGAGAAGCAGCAGAGCCCACCCAGAGATGTCCAGCACAGCTGAACAACTGGAGCACCTCTGTGCAGACTAGCCAGCTTGCTACAGCACCACCTGGGATTTGCTTCCCTTCCTTCTCTTATCCTTCCTTACTTACCTCTCTCTCTTACTTACCCTACTCTCTTACCCTTCTCTTATTCCCTTACCCTTGCTACTTTGCAACTGTACCTTCTAACAAAGCATCAAGTATTTAAGCTCTCTTTTCTGGGAACTAGGCTAAGCTAACCACTATTCATGTTTCCAAAAATCTTTCACGTCTACCAACACCTTGTAAACTAGATAGATTTTCATCCCCATTTCAGATAGAGATATGTAAAATACATAACTGAAGCTGCTCAACTCACATGCTATAGCAAGTCAATGGCAGAGCTCAGACTCAAAGCCAAAACATATATTCCACTATTTATTGCTGCCTTCAATCCTACTCAGTAACATCTGTTGCCATATAGCATCCTAAGGACTTCCCAAAAGGAGGAGTCACACTGTGGCCTAGCAGAACAGGCTTGCCCAAGTCAAAGACTTTATTGTGGTTCACAAAGCAGCCTTCTGATATCCATAGCTGGATCCCACCAGAAGGCAGACAGCAACATGGGCTCAGAAAGACAGAAGCATGGTGCCTCCGGTTCAAGTAAGCAGTCACTCCAGCCCAGACATCACAGCATTCACAGATGACCAAGTGGCCCAGCTCATGACAAGACAATACAATCGAACAGGCAGGCACACCAACCCTGGAGTCAGATCGTCCCAGAGTTAAACCTCAGTTCCACAATCACTTCCAGGTTTCAGAACCTTGGACAAGTTACAGTCTAAGGAGTTACAGTTCCAAGTTACTGTCTTGGAGCCTCAGTTTTCCCATCTATTTAACAGTGATAACATCTCATAGGGCTGTTCTGAAGACTGAATGTCATGACAGATGTCAGCGGGCAGCCTAGCACCAGGCACAACTTCCACCAGTCATCAGCAACAGACCTGGAGCAGCTGACCCCTGGAGAGAAAGAAGGTCCGGTCTGTGAGACAGTGAAGATGAAAACAAAACAGAAATCAGAGAACTTCTATGTCCCAAGAGCGTCAAAAGAGATTCAGGAGGGGGTGGAGTTAGGCCTAAATCAGCACACTGACCATCGGGAAGTTAACTTTGAAAACTGGCCAATCGCTGGCTCTCTCACCAAGGAAGGAAAGTTCTCTGGCAAAAAACAGGTGACCAGACAGACCTATACTCTGCAATCTCACCTATTTCTATGTCTCTAACCTGCACACTCTGAGTTCCTACAAATAGCAGGTCTCAGGATCATGGCCACACCCTGGGCCCTCAAGAGTGCCAGGTACAGAGCAGGGTATAGTCTAGCAAACACTTCCTGAAACGTCTAGAGCAGATGCTGGTCTGTGATCGGAGTCACATCCAGTGATCTGGAGAATTCACTACCCAAACATTTATAACCCTCTGCCCTGCAATGACACCACTTAAACACATACTTTCTCCTAGATCTCCAAGAAGTCTAATCCATACTTTTCAACCCCCTCTGCTCCTTCTGAGAATAAAAACTATATCCCTCATTCCACATCCGCAGCTCAAACCCCAGCGACCACAGGGGCCACCAGCCCTCTCTGCTCAAGAACAGACTCACGTCCCACCCTGGTGCACCTCAAAAGTCCAAAAAAATTGCTAGATTTTTCGAAGTTAAACTCTCACTCCAGCACCCTGTCTGGGCTTGCACGTGCCTGCATCACAGCATTTCCTGCCAACCTCCATCTGCATAAAATTAAACTTTAGACAGATCCCAGGAGCCAGGGACACACCCAACAGCCCAATGCACACCATGGCCAGCGTGGCCGCACACTGGCCAAGGTCTTAACATCCAGTCTCAGGCCCTCCCAAGGATGTGGGAGGGCAGAGTCAAAAGGGGAGGTTCTCTCATGAAATGAGCAGACCCGAGATTTGCTACCCTACTCCTTTCTCAGGGTGGTACCCATGCAGTAGCTCCTCATGAGTGCTCATACTCTGAGCTCCTCCCTGGCATGTGACCAGCTGCCAGCAAGAAGCAGCAATCTCAGAGAGATTATGAGTTACCCATGGGCAAGGATTATACCACCTCACTGCCTCCTCTCCCTCCTCCCTCATTCTAGCCCCAGGCACACTTTAAGCCAAAGCCCAGCACACAGGAGATACTCCAGGAATGAACAGAGATCGGCCAGGCTAAAACAGTGACAAAGTAGGCACTCTCCGGGGTACACCATTTCAGAGCACTAGACAGGATAAAAGGGCCTATCACAAGCCACAGATAATGCTCAGTTGCCACCATGTCTGCCTGCAGATCTCTCAGAGAACTACGGTGGCCCAGTACGACAGCATCTCTGGGATGAGGCCCCCAGCCAACTCACCCCATCTTTGCTACGTGGCTTCCCTGGCTGGGCCATACAGTGGACAGAGTTGGCCATCCACAAATGAGGCTCAAGAATAAAAGGATTCAAAGCCCAAACATCCTATGAGTAGGGAGAAGCGAACGGAGCGGCTGGACCTAGAAACCCAGAACAAAGTGAGAAACTACATCCTGAAGCTTCAGGGGCTGTCTGAGCACAAGCCAAAGGAAACCACAGTTCATTCAACAGAGAATTAAATCATGGAATCTGCTATCCCAGATATGACATGGGCAGCAGCTTACAAAACCGTTCTCTAAATTCTTAGGTGGACAGTGGATCTCTGCCAAATCAGGAACATCTGAGAATGCCCTAAGCTGCAAAGCAATGTTCCCCAACTCTTGATCTCAGAGCCAGGATCTCCTCCAAAAGGGCTGACGTTGTTGAGCTTCAGACAGTTTACATTAAGCAGCACAAGACTCAGGTACCACTCTACAGCAGAAGACACCAGCCTCAGCCTTGGGAGGGACTTTGATATTCTTCTCCATCTTAAGGGTGTCAATTAGAAGACAGAGACCAGGGGCCTGTGCCCTGGAAAAGGAAACTCTCACATCCACATTCACACAGCAAGAGTTCACTGAGCACCCTCCACATACAGGACACAATACCAGGCACTGTCCTCTCACTTGACACTATCTGGACAGGGTCTCTAGGCAGCTATCCACTAAAGTATCCCTTCCCCCATTTCCTTGCTTCCTCTAGAGTGCCCAGGTCAGCTTCCATTCACACAGGCTGTTCTTCTGTCTGGGTTACCCTTTATTCAACCTTCATCTGACCACTCCAGGTCATGGGTCACCTCCTCCAGGAAGTCCTCTGGCCTGAAGCATCCTGTCCTCTACCAAGTACCCACAGTCCAGTGCTCCCTCTGAGCACAGCACTCACCACACTGACCCGGGCCTGGCCTTTCCTTGTCGCTAGTCCGCGTGCCCCAGTGGGCCAGCAACTCCTTGCAGTTTCTGATAACACTGAAGGGTTCGTTTCTTGAATTAGTTAACTAGTTACAAGTCTCCGCAGCTGCTGAAGCAAAACTGGAGAGGAGGGAAAAAAGAGAAAAACTTTATCATCCAATAGCCTGTCTTAATGGGAACAAAACAGGGCCAAGGCTACAGACTCCCAAGCCTCTGGATGGAAGAAGGTGAACTAACACCAAACGGCCCCTAGAGGCCTGCCCGGCTCCCCTGCCTCCTCCAAGCTCCGGGTGTCCTCGGGCCGGACCGCCCCTTCCCGGGACCCTGACCCTCGGGGCGGCCACGCTCCCCACCCGGTCCGGTCGCCCCGAGGGGACCGGCAGGAAGGGCGCCGCTGACCTCACCGCCCTTAGCTCGGGGAGGGGACTCGGCGGCGGGACAGGAACCCACGCGGGTGCAGAACCAGGGCGGAGGGCGCGGGGCTGCGGCCCGGACGGCGCGACCCCCGGCCCCCAGCTCCCTCGCGGCGCCCGCCTCCCCTCGGCGCTCCCTTGTGGGACTCTGCCCGCCCTCCTCCCCCGCCCCCTGGGCCGCTAGAGAGGCGCGCACGACCCGATCTTAGCGCGGTGGGGGGAGCATCTCTGGATGCTGGCCGACTCCCTTGGCCCCATCTCAGGCCCGTTTCCTCGGTGGTCCTGCTGTATTACAGCTCCTACCCTCGCCTCCCCATCATCATCACCATCAGGTGACGAGGGGGTGGGGTCACCCGGCCCTGGAGCTGGATTATCAGGGGTTATCAGGGAAGGGGACAGTGGAGAAGGACCTGAAAAAGATCTGGGATCCACACCCAGGACCAGGTTCCCAAAGGGATTCAGGGTGTCCCCAGCTCCTGGATCCGGCACTTCTAGTGCTGAAATGGGTGGCTGAATAGGTGGACGAGAAGGGAGACCATCAAAGACCGATCAAAGCGGGGCTGGGGGCACATTGGAGTCAACCTTTGTTTTTCCCAAGCCTTTACATACAATACGGGCCAAAAATAGTGGTCGCCACTTTCAGCCAATCCAGCCTGGGAGCGTGTGAAGGCAGGGATGCTGCAAATCTCGGCCTGAACTAGCGGAGGCCCTGGCCACAGAGCAGGTTCCCACGCCTGCTCTGTGAACCTTTCTGCTGATGAATGAGGGGAAACACTGTCTGAGAATCTCATCAGGGAGCTAGCCCGGAGTGGGAGGTGCCCAGCCTCCGCCCAGACCAGTGTGGGGATATTCCTTGTGGCACACCGTCCAAGCTGGCAGCCCAGACCTGGGAAAGGCCTGAGCACACACAGAAATACACACAACACACATAAAACACGGAGTGAACTACTGTTCCGGCCTTCCTCAGGCACCAGCTTATCTCCCCAAAGCTCAGCTAAAACCAAACAGAGAGACTTCCTGCCTCTACTATACCCTGTTATACCACGGGAGCCTCCCTCTGTCTGCCCAGGTCCTCCCATCCTCTCCCCCTTCTCAGGAGCTTGCTGGACAGACCATCCCTTCTCTCTCTTGAATGTTCAACCTCCTCCTCTCAAATGGATCCACCCCTTGACCTATGAATATTGACAAGCCTTGGGACCTCCTTGGTAGTCCAGTGACTAAGACTCGTGCTCCCAATGCAGGGGGCCCAGGTTCAATCCCTGGTCAGGGAACTAGATCCTTTGTGCTGCGACTAAGACCCAGTGTAGCCAAATAAATAAATAAATATTTTTAAAAAAATATTTTCAGGCCTCTACTGTGGAAACAATAGAGGGCTTCCC